CTAAAACTGACCAAAGCGGTTCACCATTAATGTGCACATCTATTTAAGAAGAAAACTTTCTTACTTGTGTCTTCATGCTCTGAGTATAAATCCTTTCACACATCTGGTCAATAACGGCTATAAATACAGGGAGTGTTTTTGTTGAGTTAAGTCTTCGATGTTTGGTCTGTTGGGGCAGAAATGTCTCTCAAGTCGAAAGCATTTTTAAAGCTTAGGTCTGAGCTTTAAGCCTGCACTCTCACTTCTAGCATCTGACTCACCCTTTCACAGGAACCAACAGTCGGAGAAAGCTCTTTATTTTCCGTCCGCTATGGCAGAGGTGCACTCTGGAATCCTTCGCCGCTAATAAACTTGCCCTTTTCCATGTAATGACCCGTCTCCTTGCCTGCATGAGTGCCGAGTGATCCCTTAACCTTTCATCTGTAAGAAGCACTCCCCCTCCACCTCCTCTTATTGCTCCGTCTATCACTCCATCCCGTGTACATCCCACCTCAGCCTGCTCGGCCCGTTGTCTGCTCCATCTTTTATTACTTCACTGAAGTGCTGAAATTGTTTCAGGCCAAGTCATGTAAAAAAGACCCTTTTGTGTACTGAATTCTGCAACTTCAAACTAAACGGGTTCACAGACACGTTGATGGATTTCTGGTAGAAAGATGTAACAGAGTTTACTGGCAGAAAATGTCATTGTTGATTGAAATAAAGATTTTGGTGCCAAGTTGCTCACACGTCTGTGTTGAAATCGATGGCAGACACTTCCCATGAAAACCTCCTGCATTCTGGTGTGTTTTTCAGAATAAACTCAATCAATGAATGGAGCTCTACCTCAGTAAATTTGAAAGTCATCAAAAAGTTTTTCAGTTGTGCGGCTCAAAAAAAGTGAAACTCATATATACAGTGGGTAAAATGGGCAATGAACACATCACCAACTTTAAAATAAAAGTATTTATAAAGATGCAAATGACATAAAAGTTTTACTAGATGTTGCCAACAACCCATCCAATTCCCAGATGCAAAGAAATCAAACAATACATATAAATGTGTCACTAAATAGGTATTGTTAGTGATCATTTCTGTAGATCTGTCCTTTAAACGACAAATGTTCTATTGGCCCGTACTCTGAACTCTTTGGTTCTTGGGTTGCAGTTCAGCACATCCCTTGTGATGAGCCACTTCTGAAGCAGATACAACATCAGAAGCCTTTTACCTGGGCTAAGGGAAAAAGAAGAAGACTGGACTGTTGCTCAGTGGTCCAAAGTAATCTTTATAGATCAAAGTGAAAATTTGCATTTCATTTGTTAAATCAAAGTCAACGAGTCTGAAGGAGGATTGGAGAGCCACAGAATTCAAGTTCTTTGAGGTCCAGTGTGAAGTTTCAACAATTAAAGGTCCCACGTACTTCATACGAACAGTCGCCACATAGTCACATGATTTTGGGACATACGCTGGCGCGCACCTTTCATAGAACGCCACAGACCAGCTGTGGGAGACCCCTCCTCATCTAGTGTATGTCACGCCACTGCTGTCGGGAGATTCTCCTTACCTCAATGCATCCTCTGTTTAGCTTTTGCAAAACGGTCATGGAGCTAGTGCCACACTTTCTTTCAGACTTCCTCCTCTGTGAATAACGATGTTACAGTTTTCATCCAACTATTTGCCAGTCTTCTTCTTATTATTATTATTATAGTAGTAGAGAAGGATCGAGCAAATGTGTGTCAGATAAATGTTCCTTAAAAGTTTTTATGTTCAATGAATCCAAACACCAGGTAGTGGAAGCTGTCTAGTTGAGGAGAAATATCAACACTCCTATCTGAGCCCATTTATGCATAAAACATGGCAACAAACTTCTGACCACTGAAACAACACTTTGACATAGTTCAACCAGGGTCTGGTGTAGAGTTCGGCAGGCGGATGCCTCCCAACAGACAAAATGACACAATTTTCGTCACGCGTCATCTACATCAATGAGAACAGACTTTGGCACTTCAGATGAAGTATGTTGGGACATTTAGTGATTATTTGGGAAGTCCTGTCATGTGTTGGTGGTGGTCCATTGTTGTTTAGACATGTCCAAGGCCAGCACAACAATCTAAGAATGCCTTACTCTTCTCTCTGCTGATAAGCTTACTATGAACACTGTTCTTACGTCCAGTGGGACTTGGGATCTTCCCACACTGCCAGAAGTACAAATATTTTGCTAAATGACCATGGTGTTACTGTGAAGCATCTTGCCCTGACCCAAACGCCACAGAGAATCTGAAGTGTTGTCAAGAGGAAGATGAGGGACAACACACCCATCAGTCCTTACAAGCTAAATGCTGCTATTACAGCAACCTGGGCGTTCTTAACATCTCAGCAATGCTCGAGATCCCCTCCATGCTGCAATCTGTGATCCATTGCAAGAGCTCCTCACAATCGACTGTTGTTTTCTGAAGAAAATAAATTTGGCTTTTCACCAGTTGTAAGCCATCATCATCAAAACTATCAAACATAAGGGCTTCCAATATGCCACTGAGCACAAATATATCTAACGAGTTCCACATTTTGAAATGAATTTATGAAATAAATTGATATCTTGATGTCAATTTATTGAGATGCATTTACCATAAATTGAAGACATGACCTGCTAATTAAAGTGATCACCACAGCAGTAAAACTTAAAATGATTATTTTGAAAAGATAGAAAACAATACAACCATACAAGAAAAAAAGAATCAACCCCATTTGATTGAAAACGGTCAAATTTACATTTTGTTTTCATAATATGTCATTTTTGAAATGACCATCTTTCACTTCAAAACATGAGGAAATTATCATTCAAAGCTCCCAGAGCTGGTGAAATAATCTACCGATTTTATTATTTTGTCAAGTTGAAAAAATATCTAAAAATCATATCCTCTTATTTTTAGAAAATATTCACGAGCTGCGTTACATTGATCAGCACCGCATTCCTTCTCTTGACTTTGTGGCACATTCGCTTTCTCGTTGTCACCCCCTTAATCCACATCTGACTTTTTGCCTTTTCTTCCTCTGAGGATTACAAATGGCTCCATCTGTGTGTTTGCAGTCACTGAGAGCAAGATGTTATCATGTTTAATTAATGGAGACAGAAAATGATTAGAGAAAATGATTAGAGAAAATGATTAATATCACTAAATGTAGCATTCATTTTCAATATACTATTTGTTTATGGGAAAGAAATATTAAATGCATCTGTCAAGATGTTTGCACTGCTGCAATGATGGACATTCTAGAAAATAGTGCTTTTATTTAAAGATGAGGGTCTAACTTGTGAATGTAATTAGAGGCAAAATACTATGTTAGCATTTTGAATAGAGCCTAAACTTTTTTCTATTTTTTATTTCCTGATTACATCCAGCTGCTATCAATTTAAAAGTGTAATTTTTTAGCATCGTTTATTCCTGAATAAAGTGAGGAATATCAGCATATTTAAACTCTGAATAGCTGCATTCAAAGAAAATCAAAAACAGACAAAGTGTTTGATGTTTTGACATTCCCTTCATCAGCCCATAAATGCAATTTAGCTGATTTTCATCACTGATTGACTGATTTAACTGGACTTTTAACATGATGTTAGCTTTGTGTTAGAAGGTGGGTAAGGTTTTCTTAAACAAAACTGAGTAATCTGGTTTACTTAGTGTAAAATATTAGTTTGAGCTGCACTTTGCATGGACATATTTCTGTTCATTTAGTGTTTCACTTATTTGACTCTTTTCATCTCATTTTTGATTCTGCAACCTGACAGATCCCTGTTTTTTTATATTTTATAAATATGTCTTAAGTTAAATATTGTTAGAAAATCACAGTTATCTGTTTATTCAGTCAGTATTTGACACAGCTCACACAAAATTGTTGAAATATGTGCTTTTTAAAAAATTCAGCATAATTAAAAATTTAGTGTATCATGTTGTGGAAAGACGGCCGACCTTCTTGATACGAGAGAATCTCAGTTTGTCTGCTTGGTAATTCATTAATTGATCAATAAGATATATCCTTCCACTAATTGATAAATAGATTACACTAGTTAATCTGATTGAGTGACAAAATACAACTAAGTGTTGGTTTCCAAACAGAAAAATAATGAATGCTGTAAGTGCTCAGTTTGCACAGGTTATCATCAACTAGATGTTTTCAGATGAACCGGCTGCCTTTTACATTTTCCTCATTTCTCTTTCTTAAGAAGTTTCCTTTGCCAGAGCTCCCACATGTTTTCCAGCGAATGTAGTTCAGATCCCTTGTGTGCGCCGAGCCGACTCACTTCTTATTACTGAGGTTTTGATAGAAAACATGTGAAATATCTTTATCCAGTTCATTTTTTTTCTTTAATATGCTTTTTTTTTTCCTTCTTTTTTTGAGGAGGAGAATTTTTCATTCAAAGCCAGTTTGTGTGTTTACATTAGTAGCAGTCATTTGTCTTTGAAGAAATATGCATAAAGGAAAGGGGCTCCCTGATTGCAGGCAGGGTGCAGCAGAGATGATAGGCAAACTGCGCTTCTGGGCACTTCGGCTTGTGTTTATTAAAATGGAAAAAAAAAAGAACTAAAGCATGCCTGTCTGCGAGTCTGAGAAGAGACACAAACTGCTTAGCAAAGCCCGGAAATTAGATTTTTCTTTCGGGTTTCTCAGCTCATGTGTCAGTAAATCAAGTGACCTCTTATTGTTGGGATCAGAGGACCAAGTGAAAGTTAATTGGTTGCCTGACTTTAAGGGCAGAATGACTCAGCGCTACACATGACGCTAGTGACGAGTTGTGAGCCGCACAGATGGAAGCTGCTGTAATCGTTTTGGACTCTCCAGCAGCCCGTCACCCGCTAAAACCCGACCTGCAGCAGCAGCATTAATATTTCTCTGAAATGTCATTGTTTGCTACCAGCGTTGTGAACCAGCCAAGCTGTGTCGTCCACCAGGTTTGCAATAACACATGCCCCATTGTTAGAGCACGAGTGTGTAACCTCTGTTTGTCGTCTTGTTTTTCGTTTCAGTCGCTTTGCAGCTTCCGGAGGGCCTGCAGATGTTTGCTTGCGCCATCGCCGACATCATAGAGAGGTAAGCTAGAGGAACAAATAAGGTGTTTTGTAAATTTATTTATTTATTTTTTTATTTCAGATTACTGATATTTTGGAGTGAGAACGAGCTGCAGGTGTAGAAGTTAAAGCAGCAGCATGTAACCTTAAACTTGCCGTGGCCACTTGGTACTCATTAGCAGACTGAGAGCATCATTGTAGTGCTGCTCTCCACCAGTTCAGCAGAAAATGAGATGTGATTAAGCAGTGTTTTTTTGGACGGAGCAGATACCGGAGCTCCCGTTGCTCTCAGTTGGAGTGGAGGAAAGAGTTATCATTCTTGTTAATTGCATCCATGTTGGCCCTAATGCATCAAACAGGCTAAATTTTATTTATTTTTTTATTATTTTTCTACTGAAGGAAGGAGGATTTCAGATTAAACATATTGTAACTTCTACAAGTATTTTAGTTCTTTATATTTTGATATTTTGTTGGAATTGCATATGATTAGCAACACAACGCAAGGCTTCAACTATTTTAGTAATCAATCATTACATCGATTATTCTAACAATTAATTAATTTGACAATCGATTAATCAGACAAAAAAAATTGCCAAATCCTGCAAAATTTTCACTTTGTCCTTCTTTACACAGTACTGTGAATACATAAAATATGTAAATAATTGAATTCCTTATTCAAATAAAAACATTTTGCTGTAAAACACAACATTAAAATATTCCTTTACTCAGCAAAGGATTAATGTGCATCCAAAAAAAATACTTGTAATATATTTTTTGGATTGACTGATTAATAATTGGACATCAGATTTTGCTTAGTTGGAGATTTTTTTAACAATATTTGGACTGGGTGAAAATAGAACTGCGTCACCTGAGAAATTTCAGGTAGAACATATAAGTTTCTTTTTTTTATTTTTATTTTTTTATCTTAAATGCAAAATGTATATACAATGGGCCAATACAGCCAATGCTGCAGTGGAATGGTTTGGATCAAAGCATGTTCGTTCATATGTTAAAGTGGTCCAGTCCATACCTAAAATCTAATTCAGAATAGGTTTCAAGAGTTGAAAACATCAATTTCCACAGATTGGGAGTGACGGGCAAAACTTTCTTTTACCACTTGTGGAAACTCATCGACTCATGATCCATGTTTCAGTGTAAACACGCTGAAATTTGCAGTTATAATGTGACAAAAGATGTGGGGAAACGGGACACGGATGCTTTCGCTCTGCGCCGTAATGGTTCGCCGCATCCGAACTCTGGTTCTGGCTGCTCTCCAGTAAATTAGATTTTGTTGTGTAGTGTTTATAAAAAAAGACACATTCCAAAACACATTTGAGCAAGTGGGCCATAATGTCCTTAAAACATCTTTTTTTCTCTCTCTCTCTTTCTGTTTTGCTCTCCCCTGCTTGCTGTTGCTGCGGTCTCGTTTTGCTCTCAGCTTGCCCTTGTTTCCCCAGGAGCGGTGCCTGTCATGTATTCTCTTAAAGAAAATGGGTGCTATCATTAAACACTTAGCGTGGATTCCTTTTTGTGTTTCGTCAATTGAAACCTGATTACAAAATGGACAAGATGAACGATAGAGTGCTGGAAGCTCCTATAAACTTTTCAGGCCGAGTGAGGTATTTGATTTCATGCAGGAAGCTTAGATCACATCAGTTTTAGTGTGTTAAGTTTATTCTTGATAACACGAGCTTTATATTACGATGCCTTGCTGGACTTATTTAAAATATAAATAGTAAGGCCGCTCACTTGCTGAGAGTTGAGCTTTGTCTTTCTGTCGCTACGTTTTTATACATCATCTCTTCTTACACCGTAATGCAGTTTATCTTTACTGCTCCTCTGTGAGGCGTCTGCTGTTTCGCTATCTCCTGTTCGACTTACAGCCAGTTCTGCTTCTTTAACATAAATAAGATAGAGTGCAGTTTTGATGATAGACTCCGGTCTTATCAGCGCTGCTGCTATCAGACTGAGAGCTGCCAATATGAACTGTGGCGCGCTCAGACCGCACATCTGTGCCGTCCACATTGACGCCACATGTTCAGACGTCCATCATGGAACGCTGCTAAATCGGCCTCATCTCCTCTAATGAGAGCAATTAGCGGACACTAATTGCTTTTCTGACTTCCTTCATAGCTCGTCTTTTATCATTTGTCTCTCGATGTTTTTCACCTTCTCGTCGCCTTCTGCATGATTTTCTCGCCGCACTGCAAAGCAGAAAATATCTTTCTCTTAGATAGTTCTCATTAGGATCTGCTGGATTACTGATGCTTTTTTATTTCTTAATAAAGATCAGAGCAGACACAAAGTAAGCAGGTTTCTAATGTTTTAAAGTTAAACTATTATAACTCAAGTTGTTTTTTTGTTTTAAAGAATCAGATGGTTCCAATTGGAAGTGTACCGATCAGATACTAACATTTGTTTTGGTCCCGATATAAAAAAAAAAAAAAAAATTCTAGATTAGGCAGATCTGTTCAGTCTAATTCTGTGCTTTGTGCTCTGGGTGATGTCTTTCTTTATTTTTTGTTATTTCACATTATATCATCTCTTTCCTGTTATTTTTTGTCAAAAGTTATTTTGGCCAAAAAACCCCCAAAACAAACAAAAACCCCCCAATGAAATCACCATTTCTTTCTTTCCAAAAGATGTTTTAGGCACAAAAAAAAATCACTTTGGGCAGAAAATGACTTGGGTTATTATTTTAGGAAGCTGAAGATATATTAGAGTTTCTAATTTCAGTTTCTGAACCATTTAGAAGAATATTAGTTTTATTTTTACATGTTTATCAAAGGTAGTCAACCTATTGTTTTTGTCAGTTTCAATTTCATCATTACTTATTTCACATTAGCTATTCCACTCCTGATTGCACTGACTGAACAAATGAATGTTGTTGTCTTTACATGTTAGGTCAAGCTTATGAAGCTTCTGGTGCAAAATTATCAAATAAATTCATAATTCAGTACATTTATTCAAAAAAAAAAAAAGAAAAAAGAAACATTTTAAATCAGTTTAGGACAGTTTTTTTTGTATCCGATCATATCGGCCGATACTAAACCTCAAGAATCTGCGTTGGTATCAGAATGCACCAATGAAAAAAGTGGCTTGTGCATCCCAAGAGCTGGATGCACAAACCACTTTTATACAGTGGGGACTTAATTTAAAAGCCCCAAATTAAGTCATGTTTTAATTGAATAATCATAAACGACTTACTTTAGCTTTTCTTTACATTTGAATAAATTCACCCGTACAGTTGTTTCTAAAGCTTTTTAACAGATTTTTACATGGTTTATGGGAACTAGAAGTGACTGTATGCTAGCCTGTGCTAGCCTTTGCCTCCCAATTGTGATTTCCAAATAAAGATAAAGCCGTAACTTTTTAAAGAGGAACCTAAAGCAACCTTGTTTTTCTGCCTACTTTAGCTCATACTATCGTCTCTTTAGGTTGTGCCTTTAGAGTGAGGATATCCTTGATAACAATCTCGGCATGGCACATGAAATTTGCCATCACCTGTGGGTTAATCTTTTCAGTGGATTAACCCACAGGTGAAAGTGTTCTGCTTCTGGATGTTTAATTTGACAGCTTACCTCTCCCACCCTCCCACCTCCCCCGATAAAGATTGCTTATTGTTTTGCTGCGATGCCATGGAGCTGTAGCTTTTCATGTTAAGACTAAAAAAAGATCACAGACAGAGCATGACAAATATTTAGAAGCAGCAAAAAAATGTTAGCATGTTGGCAGAACTTAGCGCTGACCTTGTCTCAACTGCAGATGTTCAGTGTTACTAGAAGTCAAAATAGCATCATATGTTGGACCGATTTGTCATCCCTACTACTAACCCCTGTTACATGGACGTGAAATTAGGATAAAAAGCTTAAGCTGCACCAATAGTTAGGAGCTTCAGCTGGACGGATTGCTAAGAATTAATGAGGACAAGCTCTTGTGAATCATCATGTGCTTCGGCCAAAACGTGTAACGTTTTATATATGCACGTTTACAATAGATAATAATGTAACAATAATGTCTATTTAGTTGTTTTGGCATATTTTTGTTCGGTGTTTGAACTGGGAAATAAAATATGCTGAAAAGGATGATCTCTCAAACAGTTTTACTTAAACACAGTGCAGCATTGTAGGAAAACAAAGAGAGGCAAGAGTCACAAGAAATGACAGAAATTAAAGAACTCATTGATGCTCATTAGAGCAGCGATCCATTTGTTCCAATGCTCAGCCTCTTTTATCTGATTCTCTTTGTGCCAATTTATATAATTCAGTCTGCTGCCTGTGGTGACAATGTCATATGGGTTCAAAGATTAGTTTAGAGTCAGCTCTCACAGGCGAATGAGAGAGGAAACTTTCTAATCAAAACCAATATTGCTGTGTAGGGTGCCAGAAATGTGTGTGCTAGTAAATGCAGCATTATATTTTATTGTGTGTGATAGTTTTTCTGTTGCCTTGTTCTAGATTTGAAAGGTACTTTTATAAGCTGGAAGCAGAATTTACTGAGAGAATCTCTGAGTGCAAAGAAATATAAATGCCCTGGCTAATAACTCTCCCTTTCAGATATTCAGTACATGTCATAAAGGGCTTTAAGTTCTTTTTGTTCTCCAAGGCCCTTCTCTAGCAGATGCTATCTCATGATTATTGGGGTGTGACAAGCATCATTAGAAGGCTTTTATTTGACTTTGTTTTCCAGATCAGTCCAACAGATTCTAGAGTCAAGCAAAGCTTAAAACTGTTGCAGGTTAGGACTGCACTGTATGCTGGTAAAAACCAGTCCCATGTTCTATGCTTTGCTCCGTACAGAGGGTTTGGCTTTCAGCTACTGAAAACGATTGCTTCCTGGACGTTTTAAACTTTACAGCTTTATTGCTGTTGACAAAACTACAGGCAGACTACAATTATACAATTGTACAGAAAATTGATGTCACAACTTCTCGTTCTGTTTGTTGATTGGGCTGACAGAGATTCTGCTTGAAGAATCTAGCTCAATGGGAGAAATCCCAGGCGGAGCACAAAAGGCAGACTA